CTCTGGCCTATGCTGTATGCTGTTGGTCTGTTCTGTAGCTCCACCTGGTGGTTAGTTGGAGAACTGTGAGGACATGGTGATGCGTGTAATAGGAGAAGAAGATAAGTTATGGTCCCCTTCATCTGCTGGTAGAGGGCCCCTTCATCTGCTGGTAGAGGGCCCCTTCATCTGCTGGTAGAGGGCAACTCCTCTGTCTTTTGCAGTGCAGTTTGGTCTAGCTGTATCAATAACGTCGCTGTAGAAGTGCTGTGTGACACACATAATGTATTTTTAGTTAGTGCTCCAGTACAGTACTTAAAAGACCCAAGGACATATTGAAAATACTTAATGAGCTCCAACTGTGTTAATTAGCTTACAGTGCCTTCAGAAAGTATTCACACTCCTTGACTTTTTCCACATTTTGTTATGTTACAAAGTGGGATTAAGATGTATTTAATTGTCAAAGATCTACACAAAAGAGTCTGTACTGTCAAAGTGGAAGAAAAATTATAACATTTGTAAAACATTATTGAAAAATAAAGCACTAATATATCTTGATTAGATAAGTATTCATCCCCCTGAGTCAATACCAGTGGCGGTTGGTGCCGTTTAAGATGAGGGAGGACAATTTTTTATATTTTATGAGCATGGCCTTATTTCTATTACAGCATATTGGATGACTGTCATTCATATTTCATTTACCCAGTTCAATGTAACAGTGATAGGTTTAGGCTACTATATGATACTCACGTTTTCCCTATACCCATCATGAGGTCGCTACAACCTAGCCTATGAATTAAAGTTTACAACGTAGGTGCACAGGTCGAGAGAAATTTGAGTAATCAAGGTGACAGACATTGACATATTCAATACCGCCTTGCACAGTCTTGTCTGCATAGCTCATCTAGGGTGTAATCATTAGTCCAACAGTTGCAAAGGACATTTTCTATTGACAAATTCAGGTAGGTTTATCCCCGTTTCATTCCGTTTGCTTCCGTTTAAGAAACGTTTTTCAACAGAATCGGCAGAATGAATACACCCCTGATCACACGCAAACAATCAATCAATCAATCAATCAATCTAATGTATTTATACAGCCCTTTTTACATCAGCAGATGTCATAAAGTGCTATACAGAAACCCAGCCTACATTTACATTACATTTTAGTCATTTAGCAGACGCTCTTATCCAGAGCGACTTACAGTTAGTGAGTGCATACATTATTATTTTTTTCATACCCCCCGTGGGAATCGAACCCACAACCCTGGCGTTGCAAACGCCATGCTCTACCAACTGAGCTACATCCCCGCCGGCCATTCCCTCCCCTACCCTGGACAACGCTGGGCCAATTGTACGCCGCCCCATGGGTCTCCCGGTCGCGGCCGGCTACGACAGAGCCTAAAACCCCAAACAGCAAGCAATACAGATGTAGAAGCACGGTGACTAGGAAAAACTCCCTAGAAAGGCAGAAACCAGGGAAGAAACCTAGAGAGGAACCAGGCTCTGAGGGGTGGTCAGTCCTCTTCTGGCTGTGCTGGGTGGAGATTATAAGAGCACATGGCCATTTAAGGCCAGATTGTTCTTCAAGATTATCAAACTTTCATAGATGACCAGCAGGGTCAAATAATAATCACAGTGGTTGTAGAGGGTGCAACAGGTCAGTACCTCAGGAGTAAATCTCAGTTGGCTTTTCATAGCCGATCATTCAGAGGTCGAGACAGCAGGTGCAGTAGAGAGAGAGAGTCGAAAACAGCAGGTCCGGGACAAGGTAGCACGTCCGGTGAACAGGTTAGGGTTCCCTAGCCGCAGGCAGAACAGTTGAAACTGGAGCAGCAGCACGACCAGGTGGACTGGGGACAGCCAGGAGTCATCAGGCCAGGTAGTCCTGATCCTAGTCCTACCAGATATAACAGACTGACCCTAGCCCACCAGCAGATAGTCTCCAGTATCTATGCTGCAAAAGTCTGAGACAGGGGTGGGTCGGGGGACACTGTCGCCCCGTCCGATGATACCCCTGGACAGGGCCAACCAAGCAGGATATAACCCCACCCACTTTGCCAAAGCACAGCCCCCACACCACTAGAGGGATATCAACATACCTCCAACTTACTACCCTGAGACAAGGCTGAGTATAGCCCACAAAGATCTCCTCTACCACATGACCCCAAGGGGGCGCAAAACCGGACAGGAAGATCACATCTGTGACTCAACCCACTCAAGTGACGCACCCCTCCTAGGGACAGCATGGAAGAGCACTAGTAAGCCAGTGACTCAGCCCCCGTAATAGGGTCAGAGGCAGAGAATCCCAGTGGAGAGAGGGGAGCCGGCCAGGCAGAGATAGCAAGGGTGGTTCGTCGCTTCAGTGCCTTGCCGTTCACTTTATAATCTTATAATTGATTGTAGTCTGGGCCAGACTACACTCAATCATAGGACCTACTGAAGAGATGAGTCTTCAGTAAAGACTTAAAGGTTGAGACAGAGTCTGCGTCTCTCACGTGGAAAGGCAGACCACACTCAGTCTCCTGAGTGGCGCAGTGGTCTAAGGCACTGCATCGCAGTGCTAGCTGTGCCACTAGAGATCCTGGTTTGAATCCAGGCTCTGTCGTAGCTGGCCGTGACCGGAAGACCCATGGGGCGGCGCACAATTGGCCCAGCGTCGTCATGGGTATGGGAGGGAATGGCCGGCAGGGATGTAGCTCAGTTGGTAGAGCATGGCGTTTGCAACGCCAGGGTTGTGGGTTCGATTCCCAAGGGGGGCCAGTATGAAAAAAAATTATATAATAATAATAATAATGTATGCACTCTAACTGTAAGTCGCTCTGGATAAGATCGTCTGCTAAATGACTAAAATGTAAAAAAATAAAAATGGAGCTCTATAGGAGAAAGCCCTGCCTCCAACTGTTTGCTTAGAAATTCTAGGGACAATAAGGAGGCCTGCGTCTTGTGACCGTAGCGTACGTGTAGGTATGTATGGCAGGACCAAATTGGAGAGATAAGTAGGAGTAAGCCCATGTAATGCTTTGTAGGTTAGCAGTAAAAACTTTAAAATCAGCCCTAGTCTTAACAGGAAGCCAATGTAGAGAGGCTAGCACTGGAGTAAAAACACAGTTCACTTTCATAGCAGCCAGATCGTTGTATAATTCCTTCTTGCATCTACGTGCTCTCCTCCTCTCACCTTTTCCCTTCGCTTGTGGACTTCAATGCACAACACATCAGCTGTCTGTGACCAGGCAAAAAAAACTTTACAAGCCAAACCTTCATATCATAACCGCCATCACACAGCCTACATCATTGTCACCATATTAGCAAATGTCAAGTCAACAACATAGCTACTAGAACTAACGTGTTAGTAAACCCGCTACAATCATGCAGTACAATGTACAGTTAGCAAGCAGTTTAGCAGTTACACCGGAGGGCCCGGTGGCAATAAATTAATAAAACCTTGACTTGGAGAAGTTCCAGTGTTGGATAGCCATAGCCAGCTAGGTAACATAGCATCCCTCTCTGTTTGAGCCAGGTGTTTGAGTAGTCTAAACTAGCTAGCTAGCTGCATTTGCTAGCTAAGAAAGTAAAAATAAAAAACTGAAATATAGCTAACTCTCTTGCTTCTCCTTCATTTTTGAAGAAATTAATTTGTTAAACTGTTCAACTATTGTCTTTCTCTCTCTTTGAGTCAACTACTCACCACATTTTATGCACTGCAGTGCTAGCTAACTGTAGCTTATGCTTTCAGTACTAGATTCATTCTCTGATCCTTTGAATCGGTGGACAACATATCAGTTCATGCTGCAATAGCTCTGATAGGTTGGAGGACGTCCTCCGGAAGTTGTCATAATTACTGTGCAAGTCTATGGAAGGGGGTGAGAGAACCACGAGTCAATGTGCCCAGAGGAGGACGGAAACTAGCTGTCCTCCGGCTACACCCTGGTGCTACTCTACAGAGTGCTGCTGAGGCTACTGTAGACCTTCATTGCAAAACAGTGTGTTTTAATCAATTATTTGGTGACGTGAATATATTTATTTAGTATAGTTTTATCTAAAGAATATCACTTTTTTTATGTTTCACTATTTTTATGAAATTCACTGAGGAGGATGGCCTAGCCTGCCTTCTCTGAGGAGCCTCCACTGGTCAATACATGTTAGAATCACCTTTAGCAGCGATTACAGCTGTGAGTCTTTCTGTGTAAGTCTCTAAGAGCTTTCCACACCTGGATTGTGCAACATTTGCCCATTTTTCTTTTCAAAATTCTTCAAGCTCTGTCAAATTGATTGTTGATCATTGCTAGACGACCATTTTCAGGTCTTGACATATATTTTAAAGCAGATTTAAGTCAAAATTGTAACTCGGCCACTCAGGAACATTCAATCTTATTGGTAACCAACTCCAGTGTAGATTTGGCCTTGTGTTTTAGGTTATTGTCTGGTGGAAAGCAGACTGAACCAGATTTTCTTACCTTACAGATAATTGTATGTGTGAGGTACAGAGATGAGGTAGTCATTCAAAAATCATGTTAAACACTATTATTGCACACAGAGTGAGTCCATGCAACTTATTATGGGACTTGTTAAGCAAATTTTTACTCCTGAGGCAAATATTTGGCCGGGGTAGGCCGTCATTGTAAATAAGAATTTGTTCTTAACTGACTTGCCTAGTTAAATAACGTTTTTTTTTAAATAAAATAAAATAAAATAAAAAGGGGGGTTGAGTACTTATTGACTCAAGACATTTCAGCTTTTCATTGTATTAATTTGTTAAAATTTCAACTTTGACATTATGGGGTATTATGTGTAGGGCAGTGACAAAATATCTCAATTTAATCCATTTTAATGAGAAGCAATAAAACTCTCATGAGCCGACTGAGTCGTACTCTTACTGTAAGTATCACCTCCTCTTTCTCATACTGTATATTCTAATAGATATCCTATTCCCCTCTGTTCCAGGAAGAGCCCTCCAGGGCTGTAGACGCGCCCCAGCTGGAGACATGTTCTAAGGGCAGCAGCAGACCTGCACTCTGGAAACCATGAAAGGGTTAGGAGCCAATCGCAGCCGTCACCTGTCGGACTCCTGTGAGCCATCGGGGGCCCCAAAGAAGCCCCTGTACCCCTTGACCTCTGACGCCGGCGGTCCCTTCCTCCTGAGCCCCACCATGAACCACTACAGCACCCTGGACCCCCACCAACTCTACCAGGCCCCCAACCCCCAATCACTGCCTCCGGAGTACCTGCTGCCCCTCAACCAGATGTCCAACAGCAGCACCTTCCCCCGCCTCCACTTCACCTCCCAACCGGAGCAGGCTGACTACTCCCAGGACTACTCCCAGGATTGCATGGTCCCTGCCGGGGGCGGGGGTGGGCCTGGGGGCAGCCGGGCGGGCACCATGTCCACCTCCATGTCCATGGGCCTGGGTCTTAGAGGGGCTCCCATGATCACCAGTGGATCAGTTACCATCTCCTCTGCAGCAGCGGCCAAGATGAATCGTCTGCCATCTAACCTGTTGGACCAGCTGGAGAAGCACCTACCTCTGCAGAGGGATGGCTTCAGTACCCTCCAGTTCCACCGGGGCAGGGTGGCCAAGCAGCGCAGCGAGAGCCCCGGACGCATCCGTCACATCATGCACTCTGTCCAGAAGCTCTTCAACAAGTCCCAGTCCCTGGAGGGCTCGGTGGTCAAGGGCAACATGAACAGCACTACAGGGGGAGGTGAGGAGGGGACCAAGCAGACCCGCAGGAGTAAGAGTAAAGACAGGGCTAAGACTGAGATGCTGAAGAAGCGACCTAGCAGGCAGAATGCACTGGGGCTCTGGAGCTCAGACGATGCCCTGGACAGTGACACCACCACCAAAGCTGGCACTATCGCCGTGGGCTACCGTAACCCACTTAGCATGATGACGCTGGGCAGGGCAGTGTCGGACAGCCAGGCTCCTCCCAGGCACCTCCCACAGGGCTACAACACCATCTCTGCTCACACACTCAAGGCCTCCAAGAGTAGCAGCGACCTCAAGTACCTGGCCTGCCCGCATGCGCTGGCAGGGACCAGCGGAGGGGAGCTGGTGGGAGGAGGAGGCAGGGAGAGCACTCTGGTGAAGAGAGGCTCCTGGTCAACACTGACCCTCAGCCAGGCCAGGCAGGTGCTCCAGAAGGGCTCAGCCACAGTCAACAGGACGCTGCTCAAATCCAAGTCATATCACCAGGACCTGACCTGTCAGTACCTCCAGGTAGGAGGCCCAGTGAGTATTATTCACACCAGGCACTAGTATCACTGCACCCCCTAATTCCCCTCACGGCTTTACTGTTTCCTGAAATTAGGAGATTTGTTTTAAAACCTCATTAATTTGAATCCCTTTCTAACTATTGCAGCAGCAGCATCTTGACATGTATAGTCTATAATCCCATTATTCAAATGCTTTCATTACAAATACACACAGTACATTCACATGAATTGAAATTACACATTCGAGGTCTCTCTCATTAAACTAGTTTAAAGACTGTCTGATAAAATGGAGATGAAGGTTTGGTGACTCAGTGAGTCACAGTGGGATGGGGTGTGGCCCCATGCTGTCTGTAGATTCCCCTGGGAGACTGGAGCGCTACGTTGGGGGGCCGGGGCCGGCCCGGTGGCCTGGAGATCCCCTGCCGGAGGATGCGTAGCGGCAGCTACGTCAAGGCCATGGGGGACGTGGACCAGGACAGCGAGGAGTCGGAGGGAAGCCCCAAACCCTCACCCAAAACAGCTGCCCGCCGCCAGAGCTACCTGAAGGCCACCCATCAGTCCCTGAGCGAGCAGCAGCCTCCACCACACAAGTAAGTGAGACAGCCACAAGAGGAAATGTGCATGTAGATCATACTGTAGTTAATACTGTTTAGATATGTGTCTGAAGAGGAGTTTGTTTCTCCTTATCAATTTATGTCATGACAGAACAGATAACATGGGATGTCCGGGGGAACTTATTATTTTATAGAGAAGTAGCTACAGACACCCTGCATGGAAACCTGCCTGCTCTATAAGAGAGTCAAATATAACTGAATAAAACTAAAGTGGCCACCACAAATGGACAGCAGGGGGCAGAATCCTGACACTGATGTGGAACAGTAACTACAGTATGCAAGGTCAAACCTGCAGGCTGCAACAGACCCTTGTTCATTAGGAGTACATATCAGCTTAACATGTTCTTAGGGGCTGTTCAATTATAGCAAAAGGAAATCACCTACCAACAACAAAGGAAATCACCTACCAACAACAGGTAACCAAAAGTTTCCATTTGAGGTCAAAAAGGTGAAATGTTTTGTCATGTTCCCCACCACCCACACCGGCAGGCCTCGCTGCTACGCTCTCATGCTGAAGGATAATGGGGTACTGTGGTCTCCACTACAGAGTGCATGCTCAATGCAGCATTTGGCCAGGTCAGTGTCCTATGTATGGGGGCAGCACGGTCCTCCACTCACACATGCCCACTGCTGCTGCCACTTCTCTTTAACCAACCCAGTGCTTTGTCCCGTGCCCCTGCCCACATCCCATCTATTGCCAAGTGCTCCGAGTGGTGTGTTATTATCCCGGCCACAGCCAATCCCGTCACGTCTCTCATTATAAACCACTGATCTCCCATATAAACCCCTTCCACCCTCACTCCTCTGCCCGGCACACACATTTCCACTAACAGGTGCCTTCTTGACAGGCAAGTCAGAACAGAGGAAACAATCTCTCTGTCTCAGCAGATTCGATTAATGATTATAAAGCAAAAATAGAACTCAAATTTTCTCCCTTTTGTTTAGATGTTTACTGACAACTCAATGTTTCCTCTGTGCTGTCATTTTGATACCCAGATACACTCCGCTATCCTCTCATCTCACTGGTATTTAATCTCACAAAATCACAAGAAGTTTGGGGAAGGTTCAAAGCATCCACTGAAAATGGATGCTCCAGCACCAGCGGTTCTCATCAACCCAAGACGTCACGTATCCTCCCCACCCTTCATCCAGGTATTTTCCTTACTGTTAAGGGGTAATTTCAGCAGCTAATTCTCCCCCCTATCCCTGTAGCTGTCTCCCCTCCCTGAGAGAGCTCTCCTCCAATCGGAGCCTGGACAATCTGGACTGCCTGGTGAGCCCGGGAGAGCCCCCGATGGCCATGCGGCACTGGGACGATGGCAAAGACTACCATCAGAGCTATGCTACCCTGGGCAGGGGCATGACGAGCAGTGGGCAGGTATGTAAGTCCACTCTCTCTATCACTCAGGACACTCTTCATCAGGGTCTAAAACAGGCCTGTCAGTGTGTGGGGGAATAATACCCCCATACAACAAATACAACATAACAGTGTGACAGATGTAGGCGTAATTAACTAATAAAAAGGTACTACTGTATGAAATGAATTATTCATAAAGAATGCCCTCAGCCAGTGCAAAGACCTTTAGTGTTGACAAGCCTCAAGCCTGAAACAACAACCAGAAATGAATAGGATGTTGACGGCATGGTGCATTGCAGACAGCAGAATCCTCTATTTCTGTGACTGCAGGCAGGGATAGAACATTTCAGATTATGTGTGTGGTGAGACGCTGTTTGGTTAAATATTCAGTAAGCCAGTAGAGACAGGAATAGGAATGATGTTTGAAAGTAATTTTCAGAAGTTAAGACTGGGACATGAGCCTCTGTCTAATCCTGAGGAAGTTCGGTTTTTATCAAGACCAGCAGACTCCTTTCAGATGGAAGACCTGGCGCCACTTATGCTCATGGAGATAAAATGTCATCATATTACAGATGACAATAGTTAAATTACCCTCTACCTCTTACAGGAAGCTTTTGTTATTATCAAATAATATTTTATTAATTTAATTTGGGAGATGACAAGAAGATCTCTCTTTGGGACAAAAGCACGTTTTTTATGAATGAACTGCAACGTTTTATCAGGATTGATATCTGACGGATTACGATGGCTGCCTTAGCAGGAGAAGAGCCTTCAAAGGATATGCATTGTCATGGAGGTAACTGTGCATACAATCTAATATAGGAGAGGTTGTAACACATCAATGCCTTTCCATCAAGGCTTTTCATTGGGTATAAAAAGGAGTACAGACAATATCAGCTTGCATGCTAGTCAGTAAAGATGGTTTCAAGATAGTAATAATCATTACAAAACCATGGTGAAAAGTATTGCAAGATTCCAATGGATCAAATAACAGATAACCAGCAACCAAGGAAAAAGCTATTATTTGTAAATATCATGAAATGGTGTGAAGTTTCATCATTTGATTTGAATGAAGATAAAACATTTATTTTGAAAACTGAGCATCCCTGTTACATCTCCTTTCTTTATTGGGGGACACAACAATGTGCCATCTCTGGCACCAGCCTCCTCCTCCTCACACTGCAATGAAAAGCAGGATGAACAAACAGAGACTCCACCTGCTACCAACATCATTAAACCCTTGAACATCACAGCAGCCTGGTATAGAAGACTGGGCTGTAATAGGCCATCATTGTTCCTCCTCCACTCTGGCACTGTTTGAACAGTGAAACTAGCCCTTATCGCAGGGTGGACAGGTGAAGTTGACTCAGCTGGTCCGTCTCTCTACAATACCTCCTTCCTGTCCAGCCTATCCCTGGCCCTGGGATATACAGTTGTATTATGATATATTCCTGCTGGTGAATGTGCTATTGTGGAAAAGTGTCATGTTGTCAACGCCGGAGCCTGGAAATGTGCTACACCAATAAATACGTCCTGTAGATCAATAGCATCGCTGAGCAAAACCAGACACCACCACAACCACTACGACTATGATGTGGAGAGAGTGGACAGCTTGTAATGGGAGGCTGTTGATGCCTCAGACAGTGATTACATTAGCTCCAGGCATGAGGAGGAAAGTGAAATCTGACGCTGCTGGCTTATCATCCCTGATTAAACATTCTGTGTGGTATTTCACATTAGATACAATACAGTGAGTACGCATATTCTATAAGTGGACACAAAGCTTAAACAGAATATTGATATAATGAGATGCCTTCAACATGGTTATTGAAGTAGCTTACTTTTGATCAATCCATTTCATTAAGTACAATTTTGACTGTGCATGATAACTCCTGTACCCATTTTCCTCTGGAGATAGTGAGAAGGTCCTTTATCAGTGCATGAGTTTCTTTGGTAAATCTAACAGTCATTTGGATTGGGCTCTTGTGAGCTGAGGGAAACAGGATCCTTCACACTTTCTCACCCTACACCACTACCTTACTCCAGAAGCATGCCCCGCCACCCGAGACTGGCACTGCTTTCGCCTCACCGGCAGCGGCGGGCTAGCAGTCGCCTAAGTCCCCGCCCCCAACGTGTCAACCTGCACGTGTCCTTTCAGGTGTGTGGGCAGGGCTGCGGGCGCTCGCTGTACTGCGAGGGGGAGTCCCAGGCGGTGGAGGCTCTGAACCTGCCCACACCGACGTGCTTTCGCTCCCGCAGCCACAGCTACCTGCGGGCCATCCAGGCCGGCTGCTCCCAGGATGAGGACACCGCCTCAGTGGACTCAGATTCACCTCCACCCACCACCACCGGCTGCACCTACACCTCCAGCACCAGTGAGTGTACTGTACTGCTCAGGAGGGGGGTGGGCTGGGACCTGGGCTCAGGAGAGGGGTGGGCTGGGCCATGGGCTCAATTCATTAATAATTTAGTATCTGCAAGATAAGGACTATGATTTAAGATTCCCACATGCATTGATGTATTTTCAAATCCAGCAGAAGGGAAATTAATATGAATGGTGTGAGGGACTGTACTTCTTCCGCCGTAAGGGGTATGTACTCAGTGACGCACGTATGCACATACACAAACAGGGCGAGACAGATTCGGTCTCTGGCCGGTGGCACTGAATGGCCTACCAGCCCAGTGTGAAAGTAGACAGTGTGGGGGGAGGTGATGCAGCAAGACTGTACTGGTGCCAGCTAACTCATCCATACTCATTACACAACAGAGTGCAGGGGAGGTATGCTATGTCTGGTGATAGAAATCATGGTGAGTTCGAACACCTGGGTCACACACACATACAGTATACACTACACACACACTGGCGCTGCTGCTGTCTTCCATGCATGAGCACAACATTTCTCCTCTCTAGCCATCCTTATCAAATGATCACTCCATATCAAGCCAGTTCACAGTTTTAGGGGGATTACTTACATGACATGAAGCAATTCATCCATTGCAGCTGTGGGTGGTCTCAGATAGTGGCCTGTCCACTGCTGGAGCCTGTGAACAGATCAAAACATAAAGCCCAAAGCATGACAATCATATGTTGAGCATGAATAAAAACACATCATGGTCTACTTTTCATTGCAATTGTTTCCTCCAAACAAGGCTCAGCTCAGGGCCTTTGTTGTCTGTTACCACATCAAGGCCTATGAAAAGGGCACTCAGACAGAGCTTACAGAGGATGAAAAGTTTATAGGGGTAGAGTCTGAGCAGCATGGGAATCACTGTGCCATATGAATGCAGTCTCTTTGCAGCACAACAGCGGCGCTTGCCCAGATGAAAGTTGCCTCAGGGCAGATTGTGGTGGGCTTAGAGCAGCGGCAGTGGAGTTGGTCTCGCTAGGGCTGCTTTGTGCTCTCTTGCTGAATCATCTATTTTAAACAGATGCTGAAACAAAATGTTTTTTGTAGGCCTTTACAAGGGCAGGGCACCCCATAATTGAAATGTTAGAGACTATTGCTGCCGCCATTCAATTTTTTTGTACAGACTTAGCTATAGCCCGGTATGAATATTCAAGTGTCAATCTGAACATTAGACATTTACATTTACGTCATTTAGCAGACGCTCTTATCCAGAGCGACTTACAAATTGGTGCATTCACCCTATAACCAGTGGGATAACCACTTTACAATTTACCATAATGTATAATTGCACTCATAGTTTTCAGTCAATTGAAGTAACATGTTCCATCAAACATATTTTGCACTTTTGTCTTTTCTTACTGATTTTGCTGATAGCTGCTCTGAGGAAAGTTTTACTTGCAATGGCTGTGTGTAATGTGGTTGTCTTACCTAAGTTGAATGCAACACTGAGGCTGCGTTCACACAGGCAGCCCAATTCTGATCTTTTTTCCACTAATTGGTCTTTTGACCAATCACATCAGATCTTTTCACATCATCTCTGTTTCACAGAGCTGATTGATCAAAAGACCAATTAGTGGAAGAAAAGATCAGCATTGGGCTGCCTGTCTATGGATGTGTTTACGCAGGCATTTGTTTCAGTAATTTGACATTACCTCTGAAAAAGATCTGATGGGAATGCAGCCCTGGATAATGCTGGGTTCATAACCAAGTGGGAAGGTGGCAATTACCAGTTGTGAAGTCGTGAAATACCTGTTGAATGCATGCATTCATTCACATGCTTTGAACTAATTGAGAAACGCTGATTGGCTAATGGCCAACAACCTGCTTCAACCATAAACTAAAAGTACAGCTATTATGCTTGTAAACAAATTATAGTGTTAAGAAAACATATTAATATATAGATTGCTTTTTATAAATAATGTTTTGTTACGTTTAACTGCCGAAAATGCTGTTATCGAGGTAATTTCCTCAGTAGGTGACATCAGAGGTCAGCATGTGGGAGAAGTCGGAGCTCAGGGATGATAGATGAGTTTCCCACTAGTAATTACCAGTTGGAAATACAATTTAATGTTTAGTAAATAACAGGTGTAGACGAACAGTGAAATGCTTACTTACAGGTCCCTTTTCCAACAATGCAGAGTCAAAGATAAAGATACAAAATAAAGATACAAAAATAAACATAGAAATAGTGACACGAGGAATAAATACACAAAGAATAATGAATAACAATAACGAGTAAAAATAACATGGCTATATACAGGGAGTACTAGTACCTTGTCGATGTAATTGAGGTAGCTATGTACATATAATTTAGTAGGGCTGGGGTAAAGTGACTAGTCAACATGATAGATAATAGACAGTAGCAGTATGTGTGTATGGGCATATCGTGTGTGTGTGTGTGCATAGGGGCGTTCAAGTGGATTTTTCCCAGTCATATGGTAAAAATGACTAAAATGTAGATTTAGAGGCGGGAACGTACACTACAAGGGCGGGAAAAAACGTACCCACAAAAACAGACAGAGATATTGTCCAATGGGCGTTTCGAACTCCTCTGTCGTATACCAAAACGTCGGGGAAACGTGACGCACTTAGCTGACTGGAGAATTGAACCAATCCTGTTCGTCTACGCTAAGATTAATGACCATCAACATCCAATGGTGTTATAGTGTGTGCCTGTCTTGAAAAGGTGGACTCCAATCCCCATCTTCAAGGGCGTGTCCCATTCGATTCCTTTCTTTAAGGAAGGGACGTTGTGAACACTGAACAATCAAATGGCACGGTAGCGTCTGCCTCTCTCAATGAAAAAAACATGAATGAGTGAACAGAAAATACGGATTTATTGACTCACCTTTATCAAAGTAAGCTTCAATATGTTTTAACGTACTCCTGCCTGCACTGAGTTTTGAACCGATTGGCATTACACGTCGTTAGCTAGCTTTAAGTTTCGCTAAATACCTAGCTGGATAACGTGGATGAGGAATCGCCCTGATTCTGGTAACCACGTAGCTAGCCAGCTTGTTAGTAATGATAGCTAGGCAGCTAAATCTCCACGAGTCGTACAGATGCTTGTTTCATAGCAGTCGTTTGTCATGCTAATAAGTTAGCTATTATTATTAGCAGGTGACAGTTTGTGGCGAATACAATCTAGCTAGCAACATAATGCATTTGATGTAATGTTCGTTAGCTCGTTTAGCTAGCCAATGTTAGCGATGCCTATGAAAGCAACCGTATTGTTAACCAGCTAGCTACCAGCACGCCATCATGATGGAGCGGGTATTTAGCTAGCAAAGCTGTCAACCACTGGTTGAATTATCAAAGCATTTAACTAGATTCCTATTTTGGTGAGTTTGAAGAGAGACTGGTAAAATTCAATAACTAGTTCTAGGTCATACATTTTCCCTCCATGACATTGATGATCATTAGATCAAGCTAACGTTAGATCCGTTGCTAGATCATCCAGCAAAGTTATCTAAACAGCTTGTTTAACCATCTTGACATTATTGTGTATTCTGCTTTGTCTTAGTTACAGGTTAAGAGGTGTGTATGGTAAGTTAAGTAGTAAGAACTCACCCTTGCCAATGATCTAGCTACCTCCTTGCCAAATGCTTTAATAATGCATGCATTTGTTTGGTTTTACTGCTATGGTCAAAGAGCAAATTGATAGTTGACGATTTGTGAGCCAACCACATATTAAGCAAGTATGGATTGCTAACTATACTATTTCAAAACATACTGTTATGTATTTTCATCACTCAGGTCAACTGATGTTCATAGGACTTTATCTTCCTTAGAAGTCACTTGAAGGCCAGCGACTATTTCAGTAGCAATCCCCTGTCGCTTGGCTTTTGTATTGCCTAATATCTGAGTCAGTGGGTGGAGTGAGGGAGTCACTTTCGTTGCCTGAAATATGGTAAATTTCAGATCACCCTAAAGGATAAAGTAGTAAAATGACTCATTCGGTCGGTTGTGCTAAAGATAAATTAATAAAAGTAGCACAATGATGCAATCCCAGCCACAGAGTCTGCAAGAATCTGAATCTTCAAGTGAACAATCTGTCAGAATTGGGTCACAAGGAGGATTTCCTGCATCCATGGTGTCATAATTCAATCTCAAAGGCTCCGTCTGAGAAAGCAGGACGATGTACCGCTCATGTAGCTGGTCACTACACACACTGCTCTTCTAAAAAAGAGGGTCGCCCAATCCTACGATATGTGTTGAACACAAGATTACAAGGGGCTGAAAGGGGTTTGATGAAGTGTGTGCATGCATGAGCAAAAGTGTGTGTCTGGTCTGTCTGGCAATGTAGAAGGATTTGCCTTGCTGTAGTAGAGCCTATCTTCCGTTTTGTCTCATCAGCCCTGTCCGTCCCCTATGGTTTCGCGCCAGCCAGTCTGCATGTCACCCTGCCACACTGTCACTATAATGCTGTTAATCTGGGGCTGATCCAACCCCCGGCCGTGCTTGTGCAGATTGGGAACACTCAGACACTCACAGGAGCGCCTATTAAAGGTTTCCCAGGCAGCACTAGTCCCACACACAGTGGGGGCATGGAGGCTTAGTGTTGCAGACTGGAAGGAATGCAGGAAGCAGCTCTGGAGTCACCAGACCACCAAGGTCCCATTCAATGGGGTGCAATGGCATACATGTTGTAGAATGTTCAGAGAAAGAACATGCATGCTTCTTTTTCTATCTGCAGTGTTTAGAACTGTGTTCCCTCCAGGTTGGGGAAACAACAGGATCAACACCGTGTCTCATCTCCCCCCACTGAGGCTAGTTTGCTTAATTAACACACATCTCAACTGGCAGGATGAGGAGTGCACAGAAATAAGCCCAACAGTAATGAAACCATTGAAATCCCACAGCAATCTCCAAAGAGACTTGACGTCCCAAGAGAGCAGAGATCTAGGGCTGTCCCTGACAAAAAAAAGTAAGTTGTCTGTTCTTTCGACTAATCGATTGGTCGAAATTAAAATGTGTATTTTTCCATATATAGACATCCTATGTGTTTTAATCAAATCAACCA